AACAGCTCAGAGACGATAGACACTATTGTAAATAGTTTTTAAAGTGCCACTAGAGAATAACTGAGATGCTCAGTGGACTGAATGCTTTCTAAAATCCTTACTTACACTAATGCTCAGGAAATCATTTAACATTTCTCAAAGAGAATCAACTATAACAATTTTTCTCACATTTTACTCTGTGAACCTAAAAGGGAAATTAACTTGGTCTAAAATTTTTAGGAAAATTTTAGAATATCCAAATGAAAGATTTTAAAGAGTAAAACATGTAAAGGAGAATTTTTTTTTATTATTGAAACACCATGAGATACAGTTGTAGACTTACATATTTTTGTGTTTGGGTTTCAGTTATATAATGATCAAGTACCCATCCCTCCACCAGTGCCCATTCTCTACTATCAATGAACCCAGCAGCCCTCCCACTCCCTAACACACCCCCATCACACTAAATGAGAAATTTTAAATGTTAAAATTGTGGTTGTAAATGAGGCAGTTTGAGGGGAGAGAGGTGGGAGAAGGCTGGGAAGAAATGTGGCTACACTGGTAGAGGGAAATTGAGACACTCAACTAGTACTGGAATACAGTAGCCCTAAAAGCCAATGAGGAATAACTTTGCAAATCGTGGTGTCTTAATAATATATATATATGGTTAAAAATCAGAAATGTCATGACATTACTGAACTTAAGGTTTCAAACAATAAAAGCATTGAGAATGATTTAATTAGAAATGATAATCAATGTTCAAAATGAGAGCAGACACTTCTATTTATCTCCAAGAGAAATTAGAATAGCCATGTATTGCCAGAAATACACAGCAACTAGTACTCGGGGGAATGGCTGCCATTATTCATCAGTCCCATTATTTCAAAATCCATGTTGGTCCATACTTAATGTGCGGGTATGCTTGGAAACCAGGAAGAGATTTTGTGTTTTCAGAAGTCACACATTTTGGTGTCTTTGGGGTACCAGAAAACTGGTCTCAATCAGGTAGTACTGGGATGAAAACCTGTCACAGCATTTAGAAGCAGGGTGAGAAAGGAGGGATAGAACAGAAGGTGAGCAGAACAAAGTGCTGCATCTTTTCAAGAACACTGTGTTGGTGGTACAAAGATTTCTTTAAGTAATGCATGCAGAAAACACTTGGGAAATAAGTACTAAAACCATGAGTTATCTCAGCTAGGTTTTATCTTAAATTTGTACACTAGACATTATTATTAAGCCCATTTTGTAGCCCTGTGGAAATAAATGAAGACTATCCCATGTGAAGACAGAGAAAGATTATTATTCCATGCTTAATATAAAAAAGGGAGTCAGCCACATCACTTGCATTTGGAAAAGACTCAAATGCAGGCAGAGGTGTGAGAAAGCTTTATAGTGAAAAAGAAGAAAATTCAAGCATAGCCTGATTGAAGTCTGTTGCCATAGGGAATTTTTAAATGGACCAACTACAAAGCAAACATCTTACGGGATTGGTGAGAGAAGCAAATCTGTTTTTTCTTGGTTAATCAAGGTTGGAAGTAGGGACAAAAATGAGAGAAAAAATTGCTATTAATTAATCACTACCCTTTTGGCTATTGTTAATGAAGCTACTGTTTGTATTTCCAAACAGTTACTAGAGAGAAAAAATATCTTAGGCTTATTGATAGCTTTACATTTAAGGACTGGTTTTATTTGCAGCTACTCTAGGCTATGGAGGAAGGAAGGAAGGAAGGAAGGAAGGAAGGAAGGAAGGAAGGAAGGAAGGAAGGAAGGAAGGAGAGAGAAAGGGAGGGAGGGAAGGAGGGAGGGAGGGAGGGAGGGAGGGAGGGAGGGAGGGAGGGAGGGAGGGAGGGAGGAGGTTCATTCCTCACTTTCTTCCCCACATTTTTCATTTATTTTAATAGGAGCCAAACCCAGAAAACATTTCAGGGGCTTAGGGCCTCTCCCAACAATGCTTGGGGCAGTGCTAGCCAAATGCTCAGTGCTCAGTCCTAGCCTGTGTTGCTAGGCCAGAAAGTGCTCAAAAAACACCAGGACTATACCCAGTGGTGCTCAGTGCTGAGATTCTGACTCATGGTCTCACATGCAAGACACATAATCTGATGCCTAAGCTCTCTCCCTGACCAAAGTTCTATTTTTATAAATTCACTTGGCCATGGTCTACTTGTGTATCCAATCTTCCATCATTAGATAGGGGTCTAAGCTAGTCCAAATAATTACAGCTGTCAGAGCCCTGGAGAGAAGGTGGGGGTAGCTTCTAAGCTCAATCTAATATATTGAAATGCCCACTGGAAATTATATGTATGATCCTGGGGCAGAGAGCTCGCAGAGCAGTTAGAGTATTTTCCTTGCATGCAGCTAACCTTTGTTCAAGCCCCTGGACCCCATATGGTCTCCTTAGTGTTGCCAAGAGTGATGTCTTAGCACAGAGTCTAAAGTAATCACCACTAGATCTTGGCCAAAACAGTAGCAGAGGTGGACGTGGGGGGCATAGTCTAATAAAATTATGATCCACTTCTTTCAAAAAAGTCATCAGACTATCCTTATTGCTAATTAATTTATTTTATAATTAATAATCTGTATAAAAATCATTTACTAAATAAATAATTTGTTGATAAAAAAGATTTGCAAAGCTTAGCATACAGCAGAGGAAAAAGTTACCAAAGGAAATTTTGGTAAAGAATTTTTACAAGCGCTTCTTACTCTTAAATCGAAATATCCTTTTTCCATTAAATAGACCCCAGGTTACTGGAGGAAGTGAAGCCTGGGTGGGGTGAATCATGGACCTGATCACAGTGGGAAAGATTCTGTTCTTGTAGCAGCAGCTCGCCTCCCAGGACCTCCTTCTCCTTGTTTGATTAAACCAATACTGAAAGCTCAGGTATATGTAAATTTGTGAGTGGATCCTAAATAATCTGTGTTCAAAGAGCTGATTGTCACCTATCTATGAATTTTCTTATATCTAACTGTTCAAGTAAGACTTTAAATGGCTAGTCAGTGAAGGACACAGGCACCATCTTGGGTGATTTTGAAGGAAAAAGACAAGCCCAAAACAAAACACATGAACGAAAACAAAGGTTTTCTATGCTAACAGAAACATAATGGAAAGAATGACCTATTATATTTGCAGACTTTTGAAATTATATAAATTCGGGTCAGGTTGACTCTTCCTAAGGTTTAATGAGTTCTTATGAAAGTTGTACCTAGCAGTATGCCTGTTCATCCTCTCTCTGACCACTGCTATACTGCCTCCATTCAAATCCCCAAACCTCAGCCCATAGACAAGTTCTTTGGTAACATCTTCCTGATTAGATCACCCTGACATAACAGTTCTCTTTTTCTCCCCATTGGATTTGTGCAGAATGTTAATGAACAAAAACATGATATTAGGTGTTTTAATACATAGCTAATACAATTCCAATCTTCTTATTTACTAAGAAGTTTGTTTACTTGTTTTTGTTTCATTTGGGGGCCACATCTAATGATTCTTAGTGGTTCCTACTGAATTTGCACTTGGATTACCTGGCAGTACTTGGGGACCCATATGGGATGATGGGGAACAAACCCTAGTTGTCTGTGTGCAAAGTAAGTACTTTGCTATCGCTCAGGCCTCAGTTACTGTTTTTTTGAAGGGCACGTCACACCTGAAAGTGCTCCTGACTCTGTGCTTAGAGATCATTTCTGGTAGGATTCACTCATGTGGTTCTGGGGAATCAAACTTTGGTTTGTTGCATTGCTGGACAAGGACCCCTAGTTGGCTGTTCTCTCTCTGGAACATCAGTGAAAATTTTAAATCTAGGTTGGATATTATTTATGTTTCTTTGATATTTAGCACATGCCTACCCATGCTTTGCTTCCTATTATTTCCTGTAAAATTCATGAAAGCTGAGCAAAGAAAACATAATTATTAAATCTTACTGAGGAAAGTGTGGTTGAAGAGAATAATTAACTTGTGCAGTATCATAAAGCTAAGAAATGACAGTTGGATTCAGTCCCACTTCTTAGTTTCTTAGCAAGTTTTCCTGACATTCTTTGCCTCCAATAATCTCCCAGTGGTTCATCACTAAGGCACTAAGGAAAACATCACAGTGCTCCAGAAGAGCCTGTTTATGAGATCTGATTTTGAATGACAAGATGTACGCTAGGAGTTCATTACAATACCAGTACTGATGCTGACTGCCTCTGGTTATGTACAGTTCTCTTGTTTTTACTCTCCCACGAAGACTATACACGTGTGAGTTTTGTCAACTTACTTTAACAATCATATTAATTTTTAATACAAAAAGAAAAGCATCATTTTGTGACAAAGAAAGAATACAAGATCAAAACATAAGTGATATCATGAAGTATAAATACTATGCCTGCAGCATTGTCAGAACTCAAAAGGGCAGAGGATTTCCTTCAACCCAGTGTCTATCACACAGGACCTCTGCAAAGGATAAATATGAATATTAGAAACAGCAACTCCTGCAGAGAAGAAAGGCAATCTTTGCTTTGGTCTACATGAAGCAAACCCTTTGCTATGACTTTAAGTCTTCAAAACAACTTTAATTATCATTTGTCTCCCCCATCAGAGATAAGAGAGCTGATCAGAAATCTCAAGTAATTTTGCTTGCAAAATGCAGACAGTTCTAGTTATAAACACAATCACTATTCTGCTTCACATATCAAAGTTAAAATAAAATATGTTCAAAGCAAAGTATCTGATAAATTTTCCCCTTAGGTCCTGCTGCTTGCTCTTTGCCTTTGATAAGTCCTAGCTGCCTCCCTAACTCTCCATTCCTCACGTTTCGTGTGCACAGGCTGAGCTCAATGACATCACAAAGTCCTCCAAGGCTCCACTGGCATATTCTGACAAGAAGAAGACTTGCAGAAATTTTATATTCTCAGTAAAATTTAATAAGAATTTTTCCATACACTTTTTGCTGTTGACTAAACTGAACGTGACTACTATTTCTAGACCTGCAAAATGCTTAGCTAACAGACAGAGCATCTGAAAATATCACATGGCACCGGATACTCACATTTTCTGAACGAAGCCTCTTAGCTGGGCACCCACCATCCCTCGGGTGAAGCATGTAATACAGCCTGACTTTGCTTGCATGTTTCCGGCTCTAGAAACGAAAAGCACAAGGAGACATGTGAAAGGGAAAGCATTTTAAATCCTCGTAAATATAATTAGTGGAAGAAAATACAAAGTAATTTATTTAGGAAACATTTTGACATGTTCATGGGAGTTTAGGAGAGATTATTTTGGATAGGTTAAGTGACTTGCTCAAGGCAACATAATTTCAGGATTAGAAAACACAGTTAATGAAAAAGATAAAAGCATTTTTTAGCCTGAATTACATAATAGATTTAACTGCCTAAAAGTGAGAGCCATGTTAGAGAACTAGCTCAGGGGGTAGAGAACAGGGCTGGCATGCATGAGGCATGGATTTCATTCTTGGCACTATCAAGTGAGACTCTTGGATCCCCCAGCCGTTTGGACCTGAAAAAACAGCACCTGCACCTTTGGGTCAGTAAGAATTATCAGGAGCAGTGTCTCATTTTTCAACCAACAGCACTGCCAGGGTAGTCTTTCTCTCTCTCTCTCTCTCTCTCTCTCTCTCTCTCTCTCTCTCTCTCTCTCTCTCTCTCTCTCTCTCTTTCTGTCTTTGTCTCTGTCTATTTGTGTGTTTGTGGTGTGTGTGTGTGTGTGTGTGTGTGTGTGTGTGTGTGTGTGTGTACTCCTGCTTGCTCGTGCTGCTCCTCCCACTGGAGCTAGGATTAAAGGTCTAGTCGGGAGACAGAACAACCTACCAAGCCCTTTCTCCACTGTTCCCCTAATTGCGTATTAATAAGCTATCAAAAAGGAATTTCCAAAATCATATATTATAAACAAACAAAAGGTATTGTTAATGACCCAAGCCTGAGAACTTGTCAGATCCAAGCTCTATAACATAGACATGTACAATGAAACAAAGCCATTTCTGTTAGAATTAGGGCTTTCACTTTTGGGCTGGAGCGATAACACAGCTAGAGCGTTTGCCTTGCACCCAGCCAACATGGTTGAACCGAGTTCGATTCCTCCACCCCTCTCGGAGAGCCCGACAAGCTACCGAGAGTATCTCGCCCACACAGCAAAGCCTGGCAAGCTCCCCAAGAGGTATTCAATATGCCAAACACAGTAACAAGTCTCACAATGTTACTGGGCCCTCTCAAGCAAATCGATGAACAACAGGAGGACCGTGATGGTGACCATGACTTTTGACCTGCATTCACTTTTCTGTGCTCAGGATGGAAAGACTTGTCACTTCATTCTTTCCTCTACTGTTTTCTCAACTGTGAGCCTTCCCCAAATCCTCTCCCCTGAAAGAGAACTACTTGCAGCTTCCACGTTGCTAGCTGAGACAGGGTGGCAGAGTGGAGATACTATTTAAAATATCAATACCTAACAGTTTATAACCATTCTACCTAAAAACTTGCTTCCCTGATTTCTTTCTCTGTGAAATCCCATTTCTGACCATGAAAATAAGATTGTTTCTTAGTGGAGGGTACAGACAAGAGTGTGAGAATTTTCAGGTTACTAAGCCTTGAATAAACTTACTTTCCTTGCATATATATACATATATATGGTATGTGTGTATCAATAGCCATATATACAAAACATATACTCAAAAATTGAAAATATGAGATCTAAGTTGCAACCACTAAAAATTTCTAATGTGCCTGTCAAGTTGACAGTGGGGATGGGGTGGGGATTGGAGTGGGGAGGGAATATGGGAATACGGGCTGATAGAAGTTGACACTAGTGGTGAGATTGGCATTAATATATTATATGTCTAAAACTCAACTATCAATAACTTTGTAAATCACAGTTTTTAATACTATATATACAATAAGTAGCTCAGAACCCAAGTTCTGGCTCCATCACACTCTACTCAAGCAATATTTAAAAAGTCCTTTATATTAAATTGTTTACCATCAGATGAGTCTCACCTTTTCCTTACAAGCTTTTCCTGGCAAGCTCCCCGTGACATGTTCGATATGCCAAACACAGAAATAACAAAGTCTCCAATGGAGACGTTACTGGGCCCGCTCGAGCAAATCGATGATCAACGGGAGGGCCTTTCCTTACATAAAATGGACATAATATTTTAGAGTTTCCACAAGAATCAAAAAAGATAGTGCATATGAGAAGCACATCAATCTACAGAGTGACAAACATTTCTCACTACTACTGCACCAATCCCTAATCTTGACTCTACTGTGGTCTCCATAACTGAGATTTCCTTGAATAAACTGAAATCTCATTTCAATTTCATTCGCTTCCTTCCTCAGAGATTAGGGTTTTCATTTCTTTTTTAAACCTTGGGTCATCTTTGTCTTTACAGCAGCTGAATTCTAGCTATTCTCCTGAACAATGGTTTACCTTGTGATTTATAGAGAACACAGAAAATTACATCTTTTTATTAGAAATATTATAAATCCTTGCTGTCTGGTTTCCACATTCAGTATTTTTTCAGTTCCTTTGCAAAGCCTAGAGCAAAAACCTATGATCTAAACAGGCTCTGAATATTTTAAAGCCTTTTAATGGACTTAAATATAAAAGGTAAAGGCCCTCCCATTGATCGTCGATTTGCTCGAGCAGGCCCAGTAACGTCTCCATTGGAGACTTTGTTGTTACTGTGTCTGGCATATCGAATACTCTCGGTAGCTTGCCGGGCTCTCCGAGAGGGGCGGAGGAATCGAACTCCAGTCAGCCATGTTGGCCGCGTGTAAGGCGAACGTCCTACCCGCTGTGCTATCGCTCCAGCCCGGACTTAAATATACCAATAGAATATAAAAATATTATATATGTAGAACACTGTTAAACTGTGATTTTGAAATATACTTGTAGCCATGTCTGATATGCTAGTAAATTTTAACCAAGAATTACCTGGTGTTATTTGCTAGAAAATTAGTAAAACAAAAAATTGAGACCTATATGGAATTTATGTTGTGGTTGCAGCACTGTTGTTCAGTTTCTGTATGCTTTTGAGACTAATGTAGTGCAGCTGAGCATTTCTGTTTGGCTAATGGAAATTTTGATTACAAAATCTCTATTTTTAGTTTCTTTTACATGGAAAAAAACTAAATATTAGATTTTGATTACTAAAATCTATATTTTTAGGTTTTTTTTTTCATGGAAATGGCCAATAATAATTTTCTATAAGATGTTAGGAATACTGCCATGTTGACTCACACATTCTGTGAATTCACAACAAAATAGTCAAACAGCTAAAATGCATAGAAGCACGGACAGGTGGGCAGATACCTACCTGCCAAAGCCCTGGCAGACACACCCATACCCCATGGCTGCAGCACCCATGTCAAGGGCTCACAGCCATGCCTCTTCAACAATATTCTCTGCAGAGATGGCAAAATGCAAATATTTTCAGGTACTCCAGTTCTCAGACTGAGAACTCTGGTGATTCTGAGAGTGAGTGGGTAGTTTCCCCAATTCTCTGGAACGTTGTACTTCCAGAAGCCCCGGCAGCCATGCTCATCTCCCATATATGCCACCATGTCAACTTAGTGACTCAGACCATAGATCCGGAAGTCTCGGGCAGGGTACAGGTACACAGTCACAGGCACCTCCTGATGCCTCACCACTGAAATTTCAGTGAGAGCACACCAAATTCAATAGGAAACTAAAATAGGAGTCAACTGAACTCAACAAACAAAAACAATAACACATACCATTCAACTAGAACCAGCTTAATAAATTCTTAGACAAGAATTTAACAGCACGATGGTCAGTTAACAATTTTCCCATGAAAAATTGATTATCTGTACTTATGATTTTAATACTGCAACTTTGTTATTGAATAAGTTTCAACTCTAGAATTGTATCAACAATTTTTGCTTTTGTCTATATTTAAAGAAATTAAAAAATCTTACAGAAGTAGGAATGTTGCTATAGTCAAAAAAATAAAAATGAACATTTAAAAACCTGTAAAACATTGACTGTGGTCACAAATCCTGGCTGAAGAAAAGCATAGAGAGGTAATTCGTGAAAAGACAGTAATAACATTGTGAATTTAAATGTATCAGTAGTGGATTTTCAATTTTTCATTTGTTACCATAGAGAAACTTCTGACCACAGTTCTTGTATCATCAATCTGTTCAAAGCCTAGCCTTCCCAGAGAACAAAATCAAAGAAAACTGGAAATCTTATAATATTATACTGACTGTTTAATGTTTTTCCCCCTTAAAACAATATGTTTCTTTTAAAATGAATTTTCTTAGAAGACAGAGTACTCCAAGTTATTTAACTGACGTTTGGAACTAACAAGAACCTCTTGTAGATAAAACTAGCAACAACCCCTTGGCTAGAAAGAAAAGGGAAATACAGTTAGACTCTGCCATAAAATCATTTGTGCTAAGACTCATTGGGATTCGAAACTCATTAGTCATTTTTTTTCATTCAAGACCTGATTTACTGGTTCTTCTCCTACAGCCTCAAGGTTTTATAGAAGAAGAAATGACTAATATGGCATAATGCCTCTTCTTGTGTAGTGAGCAAATGTACAGGCACAACAAAACCTGTCTAATTCTGAAGTGATTGATGGTAAAACCACAGAGCTTTGTCCTGTAGAGATATCAGTTCTTCCTATATTCTCTTGAAGGTCCTACTGCTTTTCCAGGTTCTTAAACAGAGAATCCTTTCTGTACCCACCAGTTAGTGAATAGGGTCTGAAGTTAAAACCCAGAAGAAAATACAGTTTTCAGACAGAAGAGTGTAGACACCCTCTCAGTTTTTCCATTAAGTACAAAGTCACTTTCAAATAGTATTGCTGAACCAATAGCAAGAGATTAAGCTAAAGGATACTGAGTATTCCTTTAGCTCTTCTTCTAAAGATAGTTTTGAGTCTATGAAGTTTCAGAGTTGTTAAGCCATAATGTATTGTTCCATCTTTTTTTTTACTATATCCCACTATTTACTTCAAACACAGAAATCCTTTTAGCAACAGTACTATAAAGCAAGATGCAAAACTTTATATTTTAAAGAAAGAACCTCTTGTGGAAGATTGGAAGTGGAAGACAAATGGGATTGGGGGCGGAGGTGGTATTGGTGAGGAGGGAAGTG